ACAAATAACTTCACGCCTTATTTGATATAGCGAATTTATTGAAGACTCGCTCTCACAATCTCACAATTGACAATTTCACAATTACTGCCATTGGCAGTATCACAAATACTTCTGCTGTTTCCATTCACTCCTGCGAATGCTAGACTGCAACTAACTTCCGCTGCACTTGACATAACTTGACTCGGCGACTGCTACAATTCAACTGACTGGTAATCGTTACTCACTAGTAACTCACTACTGAATAGTGCTTGCTGCGCCCCACCAAGGCTCGGCGTGGACAACACAGAAAACAGCCACGTGACAGGCACCACTGTTGCATAACATCATGTTTACCGATTGCTTAGCATTGGATGGGCTCCCCTGTTGCATAAGCACCGTGTTTACAGGCATTCCTGGGCAACACTGTCGAGAGTTGTTTACTGTTGTGTAGTAAACGTGGTATCCCTTGTTACATCACTGTGGGAAGTGCTGTTATGTCACCGCAGCAATGGTTGCCTGACACAGTTGCTCTTCTGCTACGTCACCGCAGGAGGTGACGGAGTGTTTACTGAGTGTTGCATGATAATGGAAGGGGTGGGGGTATGTGACGTCACTTGCAAGACTGCAGAGTTCACGTGACCCCTACTTCCCCACCATCCACGTCACACTATTTTTATGATAGAAATTGTTCTCAGCTGTTGCACTCTATAGAATATCGGTAAAATTAGGATCGATTTCTGTCAAGTGTAACAGTGTTTTTTAATAACAAAATAAAGCTTCTACATATTTCACTGGAAGGCAACCAAAACTTCAGAGAAAATTCTTAACATGTATATCCAGTGCCCTGGCTGATATTCGAACTGAGTACCTCTCGAAGGAAAATATACAGCATTACCAATAGACCAAGCTGTTCTATGGTTACAAGGGTAAAAACCCTGAAATACAAGGCTGGAAGATGAAGACCATACACTAAGTTCAAACAGTAATATTTCTTTATGCAGAAAATAGTAGACAGAGTTCTTACAAAATGAAATGAGGCAAAGCATGACAAGATAAAAGAAGTATTCTGACACACAGCTACATTGAGAAGCATCTAAGTCACCAGTAACTTGGCCATGGCTCTTACCTGTCTTGATATTTCCATCAAACGAATGGGCTCTCCAGGAGTTACATCAAACACATCCAGGAGTATAGATGAGGATTCTCCACTTGAATCATACCACTGCACCACTTTGTATACTCGGCCCTCATCTGGAATGCAAACACATGGTTGCTGCAATTTTGGTTCCCTTTAAAGTACTCTGACATTCTGCTAGCACCTTCAACATTTCTGTAATACAATGTAAATAAGCTGTATTTCAGAAGATTAAATTACCTAATGAGCAGTTCTGCTAAGTCGACAGTCTTAATTTTGTGGTTTAGGTGCTTTGAATGTGTAACTAGCTATATAGCAAGTTCATCATATCCACAAAATAGTAGTCTTCTATAATATGTGCTGTAAATGTTCAAAACAGTACATCGTGCTATGTTTTTGATCTGTGATAGTTAAAATTTGAGCTAGATTTCTTATATGAGCCCTGGGATTGAACTTAACATTTACAGCATTTAATTACAGAATTATTTCAACATAACAATTCATTAGTTTCTTAAATTTTGAACTAAAACATGCGCATTGTGAAAAGTGGATAATATTGAAATCATCAGATGAACATGCAGAGTGCCTTCTAAATCATTTCTACATAATGACCCATCTACAGTTCACATCCAGTTTACTTTAGTCAGAGACCAGACATAAACAGTATATTCTTGATTTGTAGATTAACTGTGGGACATTTATATCCCCTTAAGTACCGATTATAGCACCCCAGGGTGATCTAAATGTGATGGGAACAAAATTCATTTTGCCCTAGATATGTCACACATATATTATTTCATGCATGAAATAAGGTGATTATACTCACTGGTCCCAGCATAGTAGACAATATATTCCAGATCAGTTCCAAATAAGTCAATCTTCAGCTTGTCAACCACCAGATGAGTAAATAGGAGATCTCTCTTATAAAAGACAGGTTTCCCATTTTCATGCGAAACAGCGGCATCCATCAGTGGATGTGATCTTATGAAGTTCAGAACAGTATCTGCAAATAAAATGTAATCATAACAGAGTAGCTATAAAAATAGTAACATAGTGTATACTTTCTTGAGATTAGAAAAAACAGCCTTGCTTGAAAACAATTTAGATCCTATCAAACCACACACTATAAAACTTTCCTACATCCAGGAAGAGTAAAAATTACAGAATTATTAGCCAATGACCAACTGTCTGACTGAGGGTTTTTCACAGTTTCCTCAGTTTCTACAAGTGAAAGTCAGAATAATACCTCAGAGTAGGATATAACATCTTACTCTTACATCTCTCCTAACTTATTGTTCATAATCATTTTATCTTATTTAATACTACATAAACTCAGCAGCTGAGATTACTGCCAAATGATTTAATACTGAACATGAAATAATACAAATTTATAGTTACATATTAAAAAAGAACAGCTACTGATATTCATATAATTAATACCTGATTTATCATTCTCTTTTATTTATGCTTATTTTATTTGTTAGTCTGAATATATGTGACATAAACAGTAATTATACTTATTTAACCTCTTTGCTGCATATTATTTTTCCATAATTTTCCTAAAATAATGCAATTTGAAAGTAGAAACACAAAAAAAGGAAGAAAGAACAAAAATGCCCAAAGAATAAAGCCAAATGCCACAACAAAGGAGATAATTATTTCTTGATGACAATTAAAGTCAAACGTTTATGATGGTGGATGCTAGTTTGACTTCAGGTGATTATAGTAGCAATATGTTCAAGGAAGCATTTTCTTTGGTCTATATTATTGGCCAATCCTGTTCCACATAAATACATGATTAGCTGTCACTAAATATCAGTATTGCCTCTGATGATGAAACTGAACAGATCTCACTACCATGCCTACTTTCATTCTATTATGAACTATGGATTAATATTTTGGGGGAACTCTTCACATAGTGTAATAATTTTTAAAATACAAAAGAATATAATTAGAATCATTACAGGATGTAGAAGTAGAGATTCACGTAGAGAATTATTTAAGAAATTAAAAATTCTACCTCTTCAATCGCAATACATATTATCGCTTCTCTTATTTGTTGTTTACAACAAAGATAAATTCAAATTAAATTCTGATGTCTATAACATGAATACTAGACAAAAATATAACTTCCACCTACCCTCATCAACTTTATCAGTATATCAAAAAGGAGTCTACTTTACTGGCATAAAAGTGTTCAACAATCTGCCACAAAGTATTAAAAACTTGGGCAATGATACTAAAAAGTTTAAATCAGAGTTAAAGAATTATCTACATGCTCATTCCTTCTACTCTTTAGATGAATACTTCAATGTAAATAGAGAATGATGTAAAATTAAGTTATATTAATTTTTAAGCTAAAATTGCCTGTACTTATGTATGTAACCTTTTGACTTGTTCTGTATCCAAAGGTACTAACCTACTTAGGATTTATAGAATGTAAATAAATTCAATTCAATTCAGTTCAATTCAATTAAGAATATGATTCAAGACAATGCCATGAATGGTGAGTTTACAAAATACATTAATCAAAGCAGAAGCTACTTTCATTTAAGAATTGATTTTGGCACAACCAACACTGGGATATTTTAGTATGATTTATAATCATGACAATGAAAGAGGCTAATTATTGTATTTTCCTCTTTTAGTGAAATTGTAAATTAAAGTTGAAACCACAGCTCTGATGAGGCCATTTTATTTAGTTCTATTTCCTTACCTGGCAATGTCTCTGTATCATTGACGCAGTCTCCAGGGCGGGGCTCAGGTACGCGGTTGCTTAATACTGGAAGCCAAGCTGAACTACTTGTTGCCTGTTCCTTGAACTTCCCTTTAAAAGCTTCCTGAATGTCTTCTATGGTGAAGGAGCATATAGCTGATCCCATCAGGCCATTCATTGATGTTGTGAACACACCATAGAACTTAGCATCATCACCAGGAATCTTGTAAATACTCTCTGCAGGAAGCAAAAAGAGAAATTAGTTCATGGCATGGATAATGGTTTTTCAGTGTCACTGCAACACTGTCAAATATAATATCTACAGGAACAATGGACAAGGCATGGGAGGCAATTCCGTAAAGTCACCCAGTGTTCCTCACTAAACCTTTCATTTTAAAATTTAAAAATCACTTATGCCTCTAGGATTTATAGTTTCTTAGCAATTTTTATTGTAACTAAGTAACAAGAGTAGACATGAAATGGTATGCTGTTGTCATATCAACTGCAGTTCTGTACAAGTGTGAGCCTTCTACAATATTTCTAAATTAAAAATCATCATGTACCAAGTGTTGATATACTTTCTCTCTCAAAAGTCTAAAACAGTTAAATATTATTTTATTCAGCTTACTAATGGCACAAAACCCTACAGTAATATGATTTCATGATATTTCCTACAATATTTATATGTTTTCTCAACATGTTTATATTCACATGTATGCCTTAAATATCTCAAATATTATATTACAGACAATGAATATGAAATTAGCTAATTTTGTAATTACACTTGCTTAAACGTGGCCTCAATAGAGCAAAATTAGTCCAACAATGTTTGCTTGGATCTAAGGGTTACATTCTAAATTCTTCTCACATATAAAACAAAAACCTTTTAAACAGAAATTTATTTAGTTTCCTTATAAGGCTCCACTCAGTCGGATATCATTAAAGTAACAAATATGTGTATGTATACAGAAATTCAAACTTCTTTCCAGCTGTGAACTTTGTGAGACATATAATGCTCCCACAAACACTGTAACATAAGTTGTACGTCACTTTACCTCCAAATGGCAGAATTTCAGACAACTTTTGTTCCTTTCATTGCAAATACGTATATGGGCTTAATTTCATCAATTTCTATTCTGTTTCTTATTACCTTATCAATAATGCTGGAGGCACGTATCGAATCTACTTCACAGCTCATGTTTGAGAACAGCGACATTCCTGTTCCTGTCATTCTCTTTTCCAAAGTCTCTGGAATGCTTCTGAGCACATACACATACATAAACATACACATATGAGCACACATGCACACACAATATGTTTCTGGTTCCAACTATTTTCCAATGAACTTACGAATTTCATTGAAATAGAAAGGGAATTCTCCAGGAATTGAGCAGTTCAATCGAGCCTTGAGATAAGTTGCCCAGTTCTGACTAAGGATGTTCTTGCCACCTGTGTCCTTCTTGCATACCCGTGCCACTCTCGAATACACACTCTTTCCACAGTTTATGTACTCCACAGCGGTCTCCCGAAAGAAGAAGAATACATACTGCCCGATGTCATATGATCCAACAAAATTTGGTTCTGCAAAAAGAAACAGAGAACAAATCAAAGCCCATGAACAGTAATTATTATAATAAAGACTAGTTACACCAGGCGATGCTTGCCACACAGCAGAGTACCACTTAGCCCTGTGGTACATATCAGTTGATGTTCCGATGAGCAACCCTTTATTAATTTCTTTAATGAGAGACCTATCCACAACCTGTAACAGCAAGCAGCTGCTGAGAGTTTACAGTAGTATATTACTCAAAGTTTGATGCAGAAATAGAGCCTAATATATAAATAACAATTAATGAACAAGTAAGGCATAAGGCAAGGCCACGTGATAGCTCAAGCACTTAGTGGCTGGCTTCCCACCGCGGCGGCCCGGGTTCAAGCCTGTGCCTGGTCAAGTGGGATTTGTGGTGGACAAAGTAGCGCTGGGGCAGGTTTTCTCTGAGTACTTCAGTTTCCCCTGCCAATCTTCATTCCACCAAATTCTCCATAATCACAATCACCCGGGGCAGGCACAATAGACCAATCAGTGGCCGCCATGCCGAGTGGACCCAGCTGGACTCCACCCCCCACTATGCGAATTAAAAAAACATAAGGCAAACAGTAAATAAAAGTAACTGAGGGGCTGATTTTGAATCACTGTTATGCATACGTGTATATAAGGAGCCGGGATAGCTCAGTCGGTATAGCGACGGGCTATGAGTTTTGAGTCCCGGTGAGGCAAGAATTTTCACTTTTCCGCGTTGTCCAGACCAGCTCAGGGGTCCACCCAACCTCGTATACAATGGGTACCGGGAGGGGTTCTTTCCTCGGGGGTAAAGCGGCCGGGGCTTGAAGTTGACCACTCACCTCCAGCTAGTGCTGAGGTCAAGAAAATGTGGATATCTACATTCACTTCCCATACGCCTTCATGGCGTAGTGCTTAATTAGTTAAGCACAGAAACAACTTTACCTTTACATATATGTACGTGTGTGTGTGTGTACTTTCATAGTGAAGCAGACAGGTAGGTAACTTTGCATACCTGGTTCGAATTTCAACAAAATACTGATTATTCTACAGATTTACTTGGCTTTACAGAGTCATTCCACGACATTACCGACAGAGATCACCATTCTGCCACATACTCACAGCCTTCTCAACCCATCAGTCATAAATATTTTGTAAGTCATCATGTGATACTAAGCAACCTGTGCAGTTGAAACAGAAATATGAAATAAACATATGAATAAATAAGAAATGTACTGAATGTTATTGTATAGTGAGCTAAAGTTAACAGCCTCACTGTGCCACATAAGTGGATTCAATCATTTCAATTATTTTTTTCACTGACAAGAAAATTGTATTTCTACAAGTTTCAAATGATTACTATGTTGTGTTTCACAAAAGTGAATGTAACAATGTAACAACGGTGCAAATACGATACGAGGGTCGTACTGAAAGTCATGAACAACAATTTTTGTAAAGTAACATGCTTTATTATTGACAACCCAAATATACCACCTCAATCTACAGACCTGTCTTTATTTTTCCACATAATCGCCACTTCTTTGAACACATTTCTCCGAGCGTTCTGGGAGTTTGAAAATTCCACTTCTGTAAAATTCCGTTCCAGCCATTCGAAGACACTGACGCACTGCTTTCTGACTTGACTCCCTTGTCTCAAAACGTTGTCCACGCAGCTGATTCTTCACAAATCCGAAAAGATGGTAGTCGGAGGGTGCCAGATAAGGGCTATAGGAGGGGCGTGGAAGAACTTCCCACCCCAACTTTGCAATTGCTGCCAATGTGACNTACTATGTTGTGTTTCACAAAAGTGAATGTAACAATGTAACAACGGTGCAAATACGATACGAGGGTCGTACTGAAAGTCATGAACAACAATTTTTATAAAGTAACATGCTTTATTATTGACAACCCAAATATACCACCTCAATCTACAGACCTGTCTTTATTTTTCCACATAATCTCCACTTCTTTGAACACATTTCTCCGAGCGTTCTGGGAGTTTGAAAATTCCACTTCTGTAAAATTCCGTTCCAGCCATTCGAAGACACTGACGCACTGCTTTCTGACTTGACTCCCTTGTCTCAAAACGTTGTCCACGCAGCTGATTCTTCACAAATCCGAAATGATGGTAGTCGGAGGGTGCCAGATAAGGGCTATAGGAGGGGCATGGAAGAACTTCCCACCCCAACTTTGCAATTGCTGCCAATGTGACCTTTGTCGTCTTCGGTCAATAACCGTGGGACCCAACGAGCACGAACTTTCCAATAGCCCAAGCTTTCAATCATCTCCTGTACTGCACTGTGCCCTATATGTTTATATAGTTTTCTCTACCTCCTCAGCTAAATACCTGTGAACTTATGTCAAAAATATTTCTATCGGATCCTTCCAAATTCATATTCTGAGTCATCATCGCCTAAAGCAACAGAGAGTTCATGAACCCTGGAGCAGAGCACAATTAGCAGTTCATAAAATAAACAATACAGCTCAAAACTTCAAACTAAATATAAACTGCTGCATGTTACAAAAATGTTTCCATAATTAATACAGAGACAGTTTCCCGCAATCTCTGCATATAATGTTCAACATCATTATTGTTAAATCCGGAAGTTTAAATTAAATTAACGTTTCACAGAGTTTTCAATTATATACACCACTGGCCATGGGATCTTCATACAATGTTAGAAGTCATATTTAATTATGACTATATAATTTCTGAAGTAAGATTCATTAGACGAGAGGCAGATTGATACAAGATGGAGTTTGAATATGTGGCATTAGGATACAGAAAGACAGCTTGCTATGATAGCAGAAAGGGAAAAGTTCTGGCAGTCTTTCAGAAATTGAGCTTTAACTACATACACTTTGAAATCTGTTCTCATTCTTCAGCCACTCCATACCGAAGTTTAATTAATTAAAATGAAGCTCTATATATAAGACATACAATGAGATGGTAAAATGGAAAGAGAAAAGAAATTCAGCGGCGCACTGAGAAGAAATGAGCGCCAGAATCTGATCATTTCTCGAATTCAATTTGAAAGTCCTAATTTTCATTTTGTTTTCCATGACACCGGTTTTAAACCAAACACAAAACTCTGTATTAAAAACATATATATATATATATATATACCTCTACCTACTTCTAGGTCTAATACTGAAGATATCCAACAGAAAAACGTCAGATGAAACGAAAAATTCTATTTTCTTTGTGATTTTAATGTATCTTTGTTCTAGTCCTAGGATACAATGAAAGGTCCCATGCAGCCTCCTATCAAATGGGAACCGGGGGATCTTTCCTCAGGGATAAAGCGGCCGGGGCATGTAGCTGACCACTCCTCTTCATCTAGCCCGAGGTCAAGAATGGTGGAGCTATACCTTCACTTCCACATATGTCTTCATGTTAATTAAGAACAGGGGTTACCTTTTCTGTTACCATGCACTATTTAAGAACTTCAAATTAATAATGTAGGGCTATGGGGTAGCTTCCAAAGATATTTCATAAGAATTTTAGCGAAAATAGGTCAATTTGCTCAATAGTTGAAAAGAGAAGACATACACACACAGACAGCACGCTGATCTCATAAACCTGCTTATAAGGAACGACATTAGGATAAAGAAAGGGGAGACGAGAAATGATTAATGCTTATCGACTTCACAATCGATAACAAAAGACACATAACCGCCTTGCTTCCTTGGTGTCAAATAATTGACATGTATACAGTACAAAAGAAATTGTATGTACACCGTGGAACACATAAAATAAGAAGGCACTATGGCGAAATTTTCTTGAGACAATGAAATTAGTCGCGGTAATCCTCAGACATATTGGTTGGTGCCTCACGAAGGCAATTTACGAGCGATAGGGGTGAGCCAGTCCACTAGATTTTTCGTAATTCACCTTTGAATTACACAATCCTTTCGGCAAGACATTATAAAATGAAACAGGCATGGGACAATTCTTGATCTTCTCACAGAGCAAAGACTTACACGATTCTGTTCACACCATAAGAATCTAAGGTACCTATTACAGATATCCTGCAGAATTGTAAAATACTTCAGTAGGTAAAGACGGAAGTTAGCCTTCTCAGCGTCTGTAAACGGTAAAGAGAGTAGAAAATTATAAAGGACTGCAGAGAAATGCATATTCATGGGTTTTCCTTGTTTCAAAGTTTCATCAGAGAGGAAGATAAATTCAACAATATTTCAACTCTTCCCTTTATTGACACAAACTTGAGAGCATTACACATACCGCACAGCGTTCAGAGTTTTCCAGTATCTCTGCAGGTAACAGCAAGTCTTACAGCCCACACTGGTGATGTTACACAATAAATAAACAAAACAACGATGAAGCAAAGTTCCAAAGATCCCACTGCATAGGAAAACGCTCATAGTGCAGAATGCGGAATGAACTTAGTCGCCTGGTATTTTTACTGTAATCATTTTTATGACTTTATGATGGGATAAACACGTAGCTCGGATGGAGGGAAAGAAATCCACTGGTCACTGAACAACAGCGAAGAAGGCGACAGGAAAATATTAAATTGAATGGAGATTACTGTTTTCCGGGATGTGACGCCATGCATTCTGGTAGGTACCAACTTTTCTGGAAAAAACTGGTACCTCCAACTTCTAATCTGAAGATAGATGCAGTATGTTCCTCCGAAAAGTTGGTAAATATCTACCAGACTTCACATCTCAGAAGTCATTAATATTCATAGTCACTGAACTCAGACCCTCAATCTCACATTGGCAAATAAACAGGATTTAACTGGCATTTATGTCAGTGATGATGAAACTGTTCTATTACAGTTTGTCAGTTACTGATATCTCTCTCTGTGGAGGGGACCCTCGATCTATGTGAGAGGCAAGGAAGAAAAATATTATATGCAGAAGGGCTGTAACCATGAAGAGGGTCACACTGACGTGTATCCTATTTACATATGTTCCAAATGGTGCGTGACAACACATATATAACCAAGCTCAGAATAAATGTTGTTACAAATAAGGATCGTGTTCGATAGGC